GGTCCGTATGAGTGGCTGTGTGGCTGACTGTGTGGCTGACCGTGTGGCTGACTGTGTGGTGGGCCGTCTGTCTGTCTGTCTGTCTCTGGATGGATGGATGGATGCATAGCCGCAGACATGACATATGAATGGATGGATGGATGGATGGATGCACGTGTGTGTGGGGGTATCTGTCTGTCTGTCTGTCTGTGTGTCTGTGACTTGTTGATAGTCGTAGTTGATAGCAGCTGGGAGGGAAGACTCACAATCGCATACGATTCAACGCACTGCTTCAAGAACACATGTCTCACGTCCCCCAAATCCAGGGGACTACCCAGACAGGCTACATCGGCACTCACGAGGCTATCTACAATCATACTTGAAAAGTGGATCGAAATCGAAAGGCTTCGGCAGGGATGGAGGATGATAGTAAGAGATCGATCGAATTGAAAGGCTCACAGACATATCATATGATACCTCTTTCGATTCCTCTCTATGTCCCCCGCCGTCGCTAGTGGTGGTGGTGGTGGTAGCTCATTGACCTCTCTTTGATCTGTCCGTCTGAGCATCGAACGAGGTGAGCAGCACACAGATCTGTGAGAAACATGCTTGATGGACATAATCCTCTGTCTGTCGGCTCTGTCGCTCTGTGCAGCCTCGCGTCGACCACCGCCTCACTCATCTGACCCTCTTGGCCCATCCATCCCATGCAGCACCACGAGCAGCAGCAGCACCCCGTGTCATACCTGTGCGTGGGTCGGAGGAGCCGCTACCTCCTCAGCGTCAAGACGTGCGTCAAGGACGTCGTGCGGCTGAGGGCCACCTGCACCTGGCTCAGAGAGCTCTTCGGAGCGGCTCAGTTGAGAGATCGGCTCAGTCACTCGCTGAGCTCACAGGCGGGGCTGCGGCGGGCGGTGAATGGGCAGCAAGTGCAGCTGCTGCGGTTCGACGACGACCAGTTCGGCACACATGATCTGCTGGCGGCTGTGTGTGTGGTGGAGGAGGGGGACTGGGGTGAGATGAGCGAGGTGATTGAGCTGGCGGGAAAGTGCGGCAACTGTGAGCTGCCTGTGACCCTCACTGGGGCTGACATCAACACACACGCAAACAAAACGGTGAGCCGGCAAACAGAGGGGCGGGGAGGGGAGGGGACGGAGAGAGCCTCATTCTCTCTGTGTGTCTGTGTGTGTGTGGTCGTGTGTGTAGGCGTATGTGTCGGCTCCCCGTATGTTGGCGCAGCTCAGGATGGTCGGCCCCCACGTCCACTTCAGTGACGGCAGCTGCCTGCAGCTGTTCCACTACAGCAATCAGTGGACGTATCATTGGCTGGCCATCATGGACCAGTACGGCTTCCGGCTGGAGGTCGACCCGCCCCTCCCTGCCGGCCATCTGTACCAGCAGCACAGACAGCCACACGACCCGCCAGTGACCTCCCGCGGTGTTATGGAGTGACTTCACGTCTCTGAGTGGCCTGTGGGCCTCAGACTTGTGAATATCCCGATGACACCCGATTGCGGATGGATGCACTCATGCATATGCGCACAGCTTGCGTCCCATCCCCAAAAGCCTCGCCGCCTGACTGACGACCACCAGACACGCAGACCGAGAGGGAAGGCGCACAGGCTGTGTGGCTGACGGATGCTCGGCCAGGCCGTGTGGAACTCACGCCTCTCCTGATGCTATTGTTTGCGTTGAGGAAGACCCTGACAGCTGCTGCGGCGCGTCAGATTGAGTCCCTGCGCGCATGTACACACACAGGGTGATGTGTGTCAGGTGTCATGAGGGCGTGCAGGCATCCGAAGATGCACGCAGGCGAGATGCAGAGCAACAGGCAGGTGCTCTCGCCCGCGTGACACGATGGTGGCAGCGTGCTACCCTTCCAAGGCCAACGCACCTGCCGATGGATTCAGTGCAGAGGACGTGTTTGAGCCAGATGGGTGCCGCCGCGCTCATGGTCCACGCCGGAGAGAGAGTGAGAGAGAGGAGAGAGAGATGGCGGCTGACAGGCTGATCTGGGCTGGGGGTGCGGGCAGTTGCCAGGATAGAGAGGGGGGGGGGAGTAGGCACACGTGTAGGAGCACACGTAGAGAGCATTCTGCGCCTTCCATGCCCCCTGTCCCTCTCCTTGCACGCCTAGCTCACAGAGCATTTACGCTTCCTAGCC